ATACTACTAGCACACTTGAATAAACTTCTTTTTCGTAAGGGATGAGCTCCAGTTTTCTTTGTTGTGAGTGTGAGGGTAAGTATTATTAGATGTCAATGCCAAGCGCATCACAACAGACAGGCTGTTTCCTGTTCCTGTGGTTAGGTACTCTGGTAGCCCGGAGCAGGTCTCAATCGGGGCGGTGGTCAGATAGTGACCTGCCTCAGGACTAATGCAAACTGAAGCCATTTAGCGTTGCAGTACAGTTCCCTCAGTCCCACACTAATTCCCATGGCCACAATGCACAGCAGGTGAAAACCTCTTACAGGTGAAGAGTGGGTTATTTTAAAGTCCCTTCACCACAAAAAAGAGTGAAAACATCTGTTTAGCTACAAACAATCTCTTTGGTCACATTCCATATACACTGCCACTCAAAAAGGCCCCGGTGGAATTGTGGTAAATCTGGCTTTCAGGAACAGACACAGCGTTATGGAGGAACATGGCATCACGATGTGCACTAAAAGTGCAGATCTGTTGGGGTGCAGGCGTTTTAAAACCTGAACATTGTCGCCTCAGGGCTTTTCAAGTAAAGTCATTCAGCCTCACTTTAAGAGTCTTTCCCTGTTGAGAGCAGACTTAGAAACAGGACAGACAGACCTGAGCTCTGGGACCATTGTCATAAAGAGCAATGTTTTGTAGGTCACACACAGGGGGTGGGCCACTTTGCTCAGAGTTAGACATCCCAAGTGTGCAAAATGTAGTCAGACATTTATACAGGAAAAACAGAAATTTGAGGTAGAATGTCTATAAAACAGACTATGCATCTATAGACAATATAATATTAATCTATATCTGCACTGAAAACAATTAAGAAACAATTTTCACTCAGAAATCAGTAGTATTTCACAAACACAAAGAAACAGAAAGTAGCACATTGAATTAAATCAATTACTCCAATGATCTTTGTTTTATTTACAACTTCAAAAAAAAAAAAAAAAAGAAATTGTATTTCCTGGCAAAATGTACTTGAATAGTATGTGTTTTATTTACAACTTCAAAAATATATATATATATATATATTTTTTTTTTTTTACAGTGTGTAATTTCCTCATCTGCACTGTATGGATAAATGACAAATATTGAAAAAGAATCTCATAACGTTATTAGTATGGAACTTAGCATAAAGTAGTTTGATTATTTTGTAGTGAGACATTGATAAAAGCAATATTAATGCAATATAAAGGGAAATGTTGTGTTTATGTTAGAAGGTATATATTCAGAGATTAGAAATTTTAAAAGTGCACATATTTAGAACTGTCAAATGCAAGTGTTCAGTTTATTGATGTTGCTGTTGCATAGTGTACAGTAGTGTCTGTCACACACCAACCAATGTATAAAAAAACATGAAATAATAAAGAAATGTGTATAAATAATACCTTTACAATGTAATAATAACTCTAGTACTTCTAAATAAAATAGTAATGTTAATGATGTGTTTGTTCTGTAGTATCACATCCACCTCACTGATCTGAAAAAGCTCAGTTCCTATCATTCATGAACTGTCACAACATAAACATGACACCCCACTTAGTCTGGATTTTCTTTAATGAGCATCACGCTAATTAGCTATTATTAATTCAACACAATTTTGTTGTGAATTAAATGTATTCAAATATTTACGCAAGGTTGTTAATTTAATGCAAGTCAGACGTACAATGACAAGCTAAAAGCATGACATGCTAAAGTGACAGACTGTTGCTAATTGTGCAAAGAGCCGTTAAATGAGAACTGATATTATTAGTTCTCTAGCCAAAACATATATTTACAACTGAAAAGTCAGTCATACATATTCATTATGACATATTATCTACTGTACATAATAAAATAATTGCAGTAAACTGTTACTTTGCTCTCATTAAAAATAAGACAAAGAAAGAAACGGTTAAGACACTTGGTATTTATAATAATTCATTTCAAATAATATTAATAATTTTTAATTTGTATAATAAATTAAATGTCAATTTTCAAATATCATTACAATAATACTTTTTATATATGAAATTATTAAAATTATTATTTAAATTTAGCTTTGAAAATTATTCAGTGAAGCGATTTTAAACGCAATGTCGGGTGGTCAGGCCCCTTAAATATCAAAAGAGTTTAAAAAAAGAGCTATGAAACCCACATGCATGGACACACACTTACACCCTGAATTCAGTTCTCAAATGAATGCAATGTCTCAATAATTCAGCAGAGCTACATTACCACTGGGTGGAATAATGGACAGTTGAGAATTCACAGGGGAGACAATACATGTTTCATCTGACTACCTTTGTCTCTGGGTCCTTTAAGTGTTTGTGGTTTCTGACCAAACCTTTCTTAGCTGGCCTCGTGCTTCTTTTAGTCTTCCCCCACAAAGTGCAAATTAACCACTTCTAGCCTAAAACCAAATCAGTATTCACACTGCAAACATGACTTTAATAAAACCACAGGGAGTCATTTTAACAACTCTCTGAAGACTCAATCTTCATATTTCTCTCAAAAATAGTAGAAAAGATGCTGCTGTCTGCAACTAGAAAAACAAATAGTGCAGAAAACCTGTAGTACTCAGTAGGTATGCTTTCATAAATCCTCATATCATATCAGCTCTAGTTTCTGTTTGATGGAGTGTTTAAGTGAAGAAAACTGGACCTGAAACTACCTCTGAGATACTTTTGACACTGATGGAGGGAGACAGTAAGTTGGGGAAACAATGAAAGGGTTGAGTGCAGATATGTGACATCACAAGCAGTTCCTGCTCTGACCATTAGACACAGAACTCAATAATTCACATCTTTCATAACCAGTGCACTTGAACTTGTGCACTCAATTTGAATGTCCTCAGTAATGAATTCCATGCTGTATCTATTAAGAGTGAAAATAT